CAAACAAGAGATTTCTCGAAACCCAACTTTTCTTCGTATATATTACTATGCATAATTACCGTGTATTTTGCGTCAATTAATCTTCGCAAATTGACTAAGTTAATAGAAATACTTTGAACAAAGCATAAAGTCAAGGATGTTACTATAGCAAGAGGTACCATGAGTTTCATGTCTGTAATAGCATACAACTTAGATTTCAAAAAGCGCGATATATTTTGGCACAAAAATCATTGCTTCATTCCCAAGTAAAAATTATAGGCTTACTGAAAGATACTGAAAGCCGATTTTCGGTTATTAGGCTTTTATACTGTACCCAATATCTTTTAAGAACACGATTTAGGCATGCAGTTGCACGGGGCAGGTCTGGAGGTCCCTAAAGGAGTCGCCTCTACCTATTCAGTTATTTATATAACTGAAAGTAATAAAGTTAAGTGAAAATAAGGGTGAAATCTAAAATTCAGAGCCAGGAAAAGATTCAAAACAAGTTTCAAAGCGCTAGAAAGTGCAACAAGCAAAAGACAAGGAAAAAATATGCAAACGACATTATCACATGGAGATAATGAAATATGTACATATAGGGTGAGATTAGCCTACCTTCTGGCAGCTTCTCAAGCCCAGTATCCAAGCAGTTGACGTCGATCGTGTCTCCAAGAACTGATCCAACAGGACTGGCGCCCAAACCACTATCCACAGTGAAACCGAAATGAGCACTACCTGAGCCTGGAAGGATAAGGTCGTCTAAAGGAGGCGATGAAAGCTGCCTTCGCTTGCTAGGCTTTACAGGCCGGCCAAAAATCAGACCCGATTCATCATCATATTCTTCTTGTCCTTCATCCTCATCTTCTTCTGAGGCTGACCCTAATCTGGATAATGAATAATTGCTGGCCGCACATCCACTGACGCTACTATTGTAAGTACTCGAGGAAGGGCTAGGTAGAGTGCCGAGGGGAAGGCAGAATAAGATTATCCGCGTAACGACGTCCTCGGCAGTCTCAGAACGAAATTTGTAATCAGAAAGAGGGAGGGCAGGACAGGCAGGGAGGCGGACAAGAACACGTTGCGGGAGGAGCATTCGACTTACTAGATTACATGAAATATAAAAGCAGAAGTCAAATAAATGATAATACAAAAGGCATGTTTAGCTAAAAATTCAATCAGAAATTATTGCGCCGAGTATGGCTAAGATAATATATATTTGGAAGATAAAATAAGATCGCTTTTCTACAGCATAACCCATACTAAAGTTAATGGGAGATGGCATGTAATAATATTAAAATATAAGATTCCATAGAGAAGGGAAAGGAACAAAGAAGAATGCAAGGTTGATGCGTGAATTCGTCGTATTAAAATATTGGCTTCTGCAAGATTTTGCCTTTAATTTGATTAACTCGTTTTTGAAGCAACAATTATCAACTTCTAACAATTTGCTATATTTTCTGGAGATCCGATAAGTTATTAATATGGTATACAACCAAAAGCTTTGCGCAGCTAAAAATATATCTAATGAATTATAAAATTTGATCGATTTTATGAATAAATTAAGCACATTGAAATATATGAAGTTTGTTAGTAACAAAAATTGTCCTATAGTCAAGCGATAGCAAAAATTATTTTGGCTAAAAAATAGATAAGCGGAAAACTTCATTATTTTAAAGTAATGTTAAAATAAGTGGACCGTCCTCTTACATTAGCCATGGTAAAAGAATTTTGTGGTTATGTCTAATATAAATACTTATAGGGATTATATTTAATCAATGATTTAAGTATACATTTTAGATCCATGGGTTATGACAGACTTTTTACGGATAGCAGCGGTGTTCTCGTTAAAATAGAGAAGAGTACAGGTGCGTATATATCCTAATAACTAAACGAAGGGGTTATATACAATAAAATCATGTATATCTACGAAGTTTGATACGGATAAGAGAAATAAATGAACATCGAGTGTTAGAAGAAAAGCCAACAAGTGAATATTGAAGATATGATGGACGAAAGCTCGGCCCATTTTCACCCGAAACGAGGGAGGTCTCTTGGACCGCGCCAACCTGAACGTGGTATAAAAGCCAAACGACTGCAAAATAACGGAATTCAACCGTCCTCTTCTGGTGAGATCGACCTACGAATCTCTTCTTCATGCACTTTCATACGAAATGAAAGTC